TATCTTTTGATAAGAACAACTTTAAAATTTTATTGTAACTCATTTAATCAACTTTAACCTTAAAGGTTGGTTTCTTTTCTTTTCTTTTTTCTTTTATTTTTTAAAAAAATATATTTTATTGATTTTTTACAGAAAGGAAGGAAGAGAGATAGAGAGCCAGAAATGTCGATGAGAGAGAAACATCAACCAGCTGCCTCCTGCATACCCCCTACCAGGATGTGCCTGCAACCAATGCACATGCCCTTGACCGGAATCGAACCTGGGACCCTTCAGTCCACAGACCGACGCTCTACCACTGAGCCAAAATGGTATCGGCTCTTTTGTGTTTTCTTTAAGAAACCTTCACCTGGCTGGGTAGTTCAGTTGGTTAGAGTGTAATCCCAATGTGCCAAGGTTGTTGGTTTAATCCCCAGTCAGGGCTCTACAAGAATCAATCAATGAATGCATAAACAAGTAAAACAACAAATTAATGTCTCTCAAGTCAATGAAAAATTCTTTAGAAGGAATCCATAAACCTATTCCAGTGCCTGTTCCACAGTTTTAATTATAGTCACTTAATAATACTTTAGAAAATATGGAAATTCTAATTTCTTTTTCAGTACTTAAAAAATTAGGCAAGTACATTTATTTTCTTTTAGATATTGCTATGGGCTGAATTGTGCTCAAAGTTCGTTTTAGTTTGGGCTGTTATAATGAAATACTAGGTGGTTTAAATAACAGATGTTATAATAATCCCTAACCTCTCCATGTGTGTGGTATCTTTTGGTGGAGTAGCTTTTAGCTTCAATGAAATTTTTAATATATATTTTTACTGATTTCAGAGAGAAAGGGAGAGGGAGAGAGAGATTTTAACATCAGTGATGAGAATCACTGATCGGCTGCCTCTTGCATATCCCCCATTGGGGATTGAGCCCACAATCCGGGCATGTGCCCTTGACCGGAATCGAACCCAGGACCCCTCAGTCTGTAGGCCAACGCTCTAGCCATTGAGCCAAGCTGACTAGGGCTAGTGCAATTTTTAATATTATACTTTATTATTAATTCTTGTACTTTGTTCAAGAAATCTTTGTGTATCCCAAGATAAGAAAAATAGTAATCACAAATAAATTTTGTTTTTTACATTTAGATTTTCAATTAAAATAAAAGATCTGTAATTCCACTAGAAATTTTTCTTGCATGTGTGTATGTATGTATGAGTGTGTGTGTGTGATCAAATGTAGAATTCCAATTTCATTTCTTTTTTCTATATGGTTTTCAGCTATGCTTCTTTCCCCCTTTTATTTACTATCATATATACTCTGTTTTACACCAAAGTTCCATGTATATGGGAGACCATTTCAAGGCTCTCTATTTTGTTATAATGGTCCATTTGCATCTATTCCTGAAATAATAAATACTGTATATCTTAATTATTATAACTTTATGCAAAGTCTTGATATCTGGTACAGCAAGTTCTTTGCCCTTCTTTTCCTGGAATATATTCACTATTCTTGGATCTTCACCTTCTGTATGATTATCTCAAATTTCATGAAAAATTTTATTAGAATTGCATAGATTATTTTCTGTAGAATTGCTCCATTTTACAATACTATATTTCTATATATGGACATGGGATATCTCTCCATTTATTTAGTGTTTGAACAAAAATGTTCAAGTGTTTTTAGTGTTTATCCCATCTACTATCGGTTTTTTATTTTTGATGTGAAATCTGTATATTTGATTTATAAAATTTCTGTGTTTCTTCTTATATTAGTTTCCTGTGGCCACTGTAACAAATTACCATAAACTTGGTAAATTAAGATAATATACATTTATTCTTTCATAGTTTTGGAGGGCAGAAGCCTAAATCAGTGTCCATGAGACTGAAGTCCAGATGTTGATAGGGCGGTGCTCTTCCTGGAGGCTCCAGGGGACAGATTCCTTCCTTGCTTCTTCCAGTTTCTAGTGGCTGCCAGCATTCTTTGGCTTGTGGCTGCAACACTCCAGTCTCTGCCTTTGTGGTCACATTGGGTCAAATCTCTTCCTCACTCTCTAAGGATACATATGATTGCATTTAGGGTTTACCCTGATAATTCAGGATAATCTCTCCATCTCAAGAACCTGAATTTAATTACACCTGAAAAGTGCTTTTTCCAAATAAGGTAACATTTACAGGTTCCAGAAATTAGGAACTGATATCTTTGGGCAATCGTTATTTAGTCTACTATACCCTCCACCAGATTGCAAGTCCCATGGGAGCAGAGCCTTGTGTGCTTTGCTACTTGTGTGTCCTCATTACTCAGAAGAATTGTACAAGAATTCTTGGCACATGGTAGGCAATCACTTAATATTTGTCAAATCAGTCATTCATATAATGAATCATTTTATAACCCTTCTTTTAGAATGGGGAGGTTCTGTTTTACTTCAGAAGACACAGCCAATACTATTCGTTGAATTTTACAGTGGGAGACTTCAGCTCATCTCCGAAAGAATATTCTAATAACCAGGTCATCTTCCAAGTTGCTTCATGAGGGAATAAACTCCTTGAATCTGGAGGTATTCCAACAAAAAATGGATTTTCATATGTTATGGATGCCAGAAAAGAAGTTTTAAAATTAGGTGGGAAGTTGGCTTTACAGATAGCAGTCGGGTTTATCTTGTGTAATTACTTTCACTCCTTCATATCTAAAGAACCCTGGTTTCTTGTTTCTAGAATTCTTCTCTAAACATTTTATTAAGTTAGTAGGTTTAGGAAGATGGGAAAAGATTCCCCTAGTTTATGGCCCTGCTGGGCATTTTACAGAGGATCCACAGAGACACCTTTGTTTTCTGTGGGTCAGCTCTGTTTCTCTTTAGCAGCATACCGGAAGCTTTCAATGCCAGCCAGCAAGGTACTCCGCACAGAGGAATATTTATTTCTTTTTAATTTACAAATATGGCTCCAAGTCTTCAAATCTAATTTTCACCCTGGAGTCTTGCCATAGATATGTAAAATGTGGTCACTAACTTGATGCAATTGGCTTTTTATTTCATGTCACAGGGATGAAGGCAATTGTTTAGGAAATTAATGACTGGGAAAAGCAAAATTTCCCTCTATATTTTCTTCATATTAAACTATACATGAAAATCAGTCTTATGACTTTAGTTAAATCTAGTTTTTGGCCAAAATAGTTTTGTCATTTGGGATATTTTTTTTTTTTTTTGTCTTCAGGTAATGGAATACATCACTAAATGCCTTAGTATTATTTTCCATAAGAAGAAGCCTAAGACTGAGCAGTTGCAAACATTATGTCCTCATTCAAATAATGACAGCAAAGGAAGGGAGAGGGAGATCTTTCCTTCTGCATATATCCTTTTTTTCTTTTCCTTTTCTTCTTCCTGTTCCTACCAGAGAGGAAAATCTATCCCAGATTTCTCCCAAAGGACACCCTCTTCAGTGCCCCACTGGCACAGCCAAGGGTGAGCCTGAGAGGGGGCAATTGAAAGGCTTAGAAAAGACAGACAAGAGAATGAAAGCTGGGTCTAGGTGGGACGCTGCTTCCATGATGGAGAGACAGCACCACAGACTACAAGCCTTGCCTTTATTTTATAGCCAGATGCCAGGAGGCAAAGTAAGGGTGTGGTCAAGATGTTAACATTCTCGTGGTTTTTGATCCTACTCAATTACATGCACCTGATCAAACCTCGTAGCCTATATCACTTAGGCATGTGGGGCCATGTGTTCAGGCCATAGGTTCAAGCTTTCAACTATAGCTGTTGGCTATAATTATGCGGGGAGGGCTCTGTCCTCCAAGCTGGGACTTGCATGTGGCCACGAGAGGACTGTGTCCTCTCATCAGTCCAAGGCTTAAACCTGCCCAAACTCTGTAGCCGAGCTCCACACTCTTCCAGCTCATTGGTCAGTACTGGGCCACACAACCATTATCATTAAGGAAGAGTGGAAAAGCAAGTTTCTGTCACATTAACTCCCCTGATGGACAAAAAGGGGCTACATCTATCCATATTAGATACAGATTCCTAAAACTAACATTCACCAAGCATTTTGCAAAGCCCTTTCACATGCATTTTTTTTTCTTCTAATTCTCATGAACATACATTGTGATGTAGAAAGTTCATGGTTGGAAATAGAGGAAGACTGGAAATATTAACTAGGTAGCTGTTATTGTGGACCAGCCCTATCCTACAGAGGAAGAGGTAACCTAGGCAGAAGAGGCATTTTATCACAGGACAGATGAGGGGGGTGGTCATCACAATGGTTAATACTGAGTGCTTACTATATGCCAGGCTTTGTGCTGTGTGACTTTACATTGATTATAACATTTCATTCTCAACCCTGTGAAGGAGGTAGGACCATGCCTCTCTTTTGTAAATAAGGAAACTGTGGCTCCAGTAAGTGCAAGTCTGTGAGAATTGAATCCCAGGGCAGCCTCCATGCTGGGCACTGCTTACGCTGTACTGCTTTCTCATTCCATTCTCATTCTATGAAGGGCATTGCCTCTGAGCTCAGCATATTGTGACTTAAGCTTCTTCATCTATACAATGGGATAATTCTACCTATTCTTTTTGGGGTTCCCATGAGGAGTGTACATGTTAAATAATGAACAACGAGACAAACATAGTAGGCCAGAATTATTATTATGAATTTTATTTAAAAAAATTTTGTGATTTTTTTTTTTTTTTTTTTAAATCTACTCTATTGGAGAGTACTTCCCCAAATGTTGGGCTCAGGGCCCCTGACACTCTTAAGCATTACTGTGAATTCCAAAGGGTGTCTATTTAAGGTTAGCTATCACTGCTGCCTTGCTATTAATACTAAGAAATGTTTGAAACAGAATAATTAGCACAGGTTCCCTTAGCTGTCAGAGTGATGTCATGCGCCTCCTATATCCTCTGGAAACTGTATACCTGCGAGAGAATGAACATGAAAAAGGCAAAAAAAAAAAAAAAAAAAGTGCATTATTATGAAAATTTTATTTGCCCTCTCCTCCAGGGTTCCCCGGCCTATGCTTTGACAACTGCTGCTTTAAGTTTTGGGACTGATCAATGAACCATCCGATTCTGTTGTTCCAGCTCCAGTGCCTCGCTCCTGCGCGCTCCGCTGGACAACCCGCGTCCCGGGCGCCCGGAGACAGGCTCCGCCCCTCCGCCTGGCTTCCATGGCAACCACAGCGCGCAGCCCAGGCGTCACTCCTCCTTCGGGCCAAACCATTCGCCTCAGGGGCCCATTAATCTCAGGGGCTGATGGATACAAGAGAATTTGACAGAACATAAGCGAGCTACTTAGCTTTCGTTTTCCTGGCTAGTGTGAGTGACACACTCCCCTCCACTCGCCTACTGTCCCTGCGTGGGCAGCGCCGCGTCTGGCCTGCTCCCCTAGAGCGTCTCCCCCCTTCCAGGCCCGCGAATGGGCCGGCCCGGCCGGGGGCTCGGAAGGCGCAGGTTGGAGCCGACGCTGGGGGGGCGCGTCCGACGTCGCGCGAAGGGGGCGTGGCCGCGCCGAGGTGGGTGGGGGGCGGCAGGGCGGGCAAGATGGCGCCCGGCGAGTGATTTGCGCGGATTTCTCCGGTGGTGGTGGTGGCTCAGGCGCCCGGGCCGGGGGTGGTTCTGCTCCCACAGCCGCCCTTCCTCCTTTCCCCGCGCCCGGACTCCCCTCCTGCCCTTCCTTCCTCGACCTCGGGGAGTTGGGGGGAGGCAGTCCTGGTTCCCGGGACAGCATGTCGGACTCTGAGGAGGAGAGCCAGGACCGGCAAGTGAAAATCGTCGTGCTGGGGGACGGCACCTCCGGGAAGGTCAGTCCTGGGCGGGCCCGCTGTCCGATCCTGGAGGCCCCTGGCGCGGCCCCGGGACCCCAGCTCCTCCCCGCCGCCCGCCCCGGGGCCTCGGGCCCGGGCCCGCCCGGTCGCGGCCTGGGGCCGGGCGCGAAGCTGGCGCTGGGGAATGGCTGGCGAGAGCTTTCCTCCTCCCCTGAATGATGTCTACTATTTACAAAGGCCGCTTCTCAGCTCCCCAAGGCGGCGCCAGCGCCTGCTGCCCTCCAGGACCCCGGCATCGCCTCCGCGGGAAGCCGCCCGGCCTCTGTGGTGATGGGCGAGGACCTGCCAGGGCGGCGCATCTCCTTCCTTAGTTCAGGTCACCCTCCTCCCCCTGCACCCCTTCCCGACCTCCCCTTTTCCTCCCTCCCGTACCTGATGCCTCCACTTCCCTGGGGGCTCCCACGAATCACTGATCCCCCCAGAATCATGATCCCTCAGAATCACTGACTGGTCAGGTTCTCAGAGGGCCCATTGCTCACCTACCTGGTCGTGCTTCCTCTGTAAGGGGTGTGTGTGTGCGTGTGTATGTGTGTGTGTGTGGTGTATGCACAGGGGTCGTCCCCAAGCCTGCAGCGTGCAAGTGCACACTCCATGTGAGAAGCCACACGCAGCTCCCAGCACGCAGCGTGCAGCCAGTAGACCGTTAGCTGCAGTGTCACAGCATCACGCCTGCTCCTGTTTCCGGGGGAGGCACCTGTCCGCTCAGGCATCCCTCCCACAAATACCCGGTGAACTCCTCTTAGGGGCTGGGTGCTGAGGGGAGGACGGGTAGCGTTGGCCCAGGGGGTCCTCGCCCGGAAGTGTAGCCTCCCGGGAGGGTTGGTTGAATGAATGGGAGCGAGTGCGTGGGAATATTCGGCGGACAGTCCCCGGACAGACAGACAGACAGACTGATGTCCGAGGCCAGGCCGCGCTTTTTAACCCATCGCTGCGGAGCTGCTGAAACGGAACAAGCATCGCCCGGCATTTGCTCTTTGGAGAGCTGGGGCCGTAGGATCTCAGAGGGATCTGTGACCCCTCCCCCCCTCCCCCAGACCCCCCCTTTCCCCAAATGAAACGGAGGGTCTCTGCCGGGTGCCATCACACCTGTCGCTTCCGCCCCAGGCGCTAACACTTTCTGGGAATCCGGCTCAAGTGGGTCTCCTTTCTTCTCCCCTCCCTCTCCCCAGCCAGAGCCTTCAGGTCTTAGTACCAGCTCCCGATTTTCGTCCTCACAGCCCCCCCCCCCCCCCCCCCCCCCGCATGGTTTGGACCCTGGTTTCCTTGTCTTTGGTCCTGAGATGTGGGTTCCTGGGGCCCTCCGGAAAGGTGTCATTCATGTGCAGAATTGGGAGAATTCTGTTCATTTCTTTCTTGCCTTCTGTATTTTGTTACTGATTTTTCTCGCTGAGGAAGAACAGCTAAATAGGCTGTGCTAACCCATAAGCATTTTGGGGGATAGAGAAGAACTTGGAACCACTTTTCATTATAAAAGTATTATACGGATTTTTTTGTACACTTCAAATAACTTTTTGATTGTATGCATTGAAACCAATTAGCCTTGCTCTAACACCGTTATTCAATAAAAATCTGTTACATTTTAGTTTTCTCATTCTTCATATTCTTTTGAAAGCTTTGTGATTTTTCATTTCTTATATTTTTACAGTCAAATCATGTATTTCCTGTTTAAAATAGTAATGGCAATCTATAACACTAATACACTTGTAAAAAGACAAAAATTTCCCATTATCCTACATTCTATCATAATTCTTTAAACTTTTATTTCTCCCAGTATTTATTATCATAGGTGTATTACTCAGTTGAAATTTGCTCATAATTCTGTATTTACTTTTTTCATTTAGCCTGTCATACGTGTGTTTCTCTTCTTGTTAATTTAGCTTGAATAATTATGGTTTTTCATCTCTGTCTAAAATTCTGTGTAGAACAAAGCATATTTTCTCCCTTCTGTATTGTGGAAGGACTATCATTCTGCTTCAGAGGATAACAGTGATATTCATTATGGTGTTTTGACTTGGTTTTCAACATCTTGAGTCATCTATTTTTAAACCATAAGAATTTTTTGGTCCAAAGTTTTCAGATACAAGCATCAGAAACCTAACCTTTTATCATTATTCATGTATCAAGTTTTTTTCTCCTTATTCTATTCAGTTCTCAATTTGTTGGCAGCTACCAACATTGCCATTCTACTTCCTTTTCTTTGATGAACTCAGCCCCTCTTTCATTCTAATTTGTATCCTGCTTTAACTCCTGGCCATTTTTTCTAGCAAGAGTTTATCTGCTAGTTCTGAGTTAGAACTAACTCAGGGCATTTTGATACCTACCGAGAGAAGCAATAGATTGAGATCACCACCAACAGTCTCTCCAAGAGAAATTTAGCTCCTTCTCCTAGTAACACATGTTTCTACCTCTTTCCTGTTTTGATTCATACTTTTGATTTCATTGCATATTTTTAAAGACTTTTTAAGGCAAAACATTCTTTATGATGTCTTTTCAGTATTAGTAAGTGTGGTGTGGTTAAAATTGTTGGCAAAATGTTCACCAAACCATAAAACAAAAGCCTCACAGAAGGAGATGACATATTTCAGATATGGTAGATGGTTGCTCACTTTATAATTGTTTAAGACTGATATTTATACAATGATGTGTGAGAAATCATTGGATCTGAAAAATAGTACAAAGTCTATATAATTGAAGAGGAAGTGCCTCCCATTGATATGGTTGTCCTGTTTAATTTTATAGTGATTATAATAAGGTGTCCGGGGATGAAATAAGAATCCATTCTAATATTTTGTGTGCCCAATGACCAGTACTCTTGATAGATTATACTTCATTTCACTTGAAACCCTAACTTTGCCTCAAAAGTATGAGGGTAGATGTTTCCAAGAAAACCACCTTAGAATTGTTCTGAATATTAACTAGTATAAAAATACTGAACTTTGAGAATCTTAAAGTGAAAAATTACCTTAAAAGACATTATGCTGATGTTACATATGCTCTGACTTATTCTTTGACTTAAAGTACTATTTCAGCCATCCATGTATTAAATATTTTGAAATATCTGTAGCAGGAGTGGTGCTAGTTATTTTTCTCTGGAACTCTTGAACTTCTTCACAGATGACTTGTGTTCTGAATTAAACAAGTTCAATAGCATAGATAAGTCTTAAGTGAACAAAGGGTTTAAAAAGGAGCACTTTACCTTTTTAATTCTGATTTCTCAGTTTTAATGGTATTGTTATATGCTTCTTGGGAGCCAAATAAAATTTCATTTTGGTGTAGTGAGTTTATTTCTCATTGTCTAGCAGAACATCTTTCTTGTAGTGCTCAGTAAACATTTGACCAAGTGTCTTTGAAATTTATTACAAATGCTGGGTATTTTACTACTATAAAGGAATTGGAGTTAGGCATGCAAGTTGCCATTTCTGTGAAAAATATGTTGTGTCAAAAGGAATTTTAGGTTGTTTTGCTTAAAGAAATTGAAATTGATTAGGATTTCTTTTGCACTGCTGTACTTATGTCATAATTATAATGTGTTATCTAGGAAATTTTATCTTAATTTTAAATATTTAGGAGTTGACATCTAATTTTAACTCTTAAAACTAAAGTGTTATTTTTCCTTAACTTTGGGAGTCTTGAAGTGCATAAAATCTTCATGAAGCTGTCTTTCTCTTTTATTAGGGAAAGTTTACAAATAAATAGTGCATTTAAGATGTTTAAGAAGCTTGTAAGTTGACTTATTTCATTTGTTACCAAAATGATTATTCTTTTGCTTTGATAAGAAATGGTAAAGCCTTAGAATTTTGAACGCAACTTTTAAAATAAATGTAGGTACTGTATATATTTGTTCTGGTTACACTATTCTTATGGCTTTTAAGGTTCATGGGTGGAAAATACTTATCTTTACTTGCTTAATATTAATTTAAAACTATCAACTTTTTTATTTAACGGCTATATATTACCAGAGTTATTCTGTAGAATTATTTTTATTTAACAGCTTTAATATAGAGACAAATTAGATATTTAATGATACTTTTTTTTTGTGGGGAGAGGGAGAAGAAAAGAAATTATATAAACAGTCTTTTCCCTCCTTAATCATTTTTTATTATTGGCTGAGGGCACAAACTACTCGAAATATTTAACCTCAGAATGAAACTCCAGAGTTCTCTGAAATTTGAATTGAACTGATATATATGGATATATAAAATTCAGATCTTTTATCATGATACGTTAGTTTTCTCTCTTGATACATTTCAAATTCTAAGTTCCAGCTAGGAAAAGGAGCGTGGGAATCCAGATTTAAAGAGATCTAGCAGTTTGTTGTCTCCACTCACAGCGGTTGGCAAGTGAAGTTTACCTGGTGGAGCGTTAGTTCCTCTTCCTCTTGAAACTGATTAGAACAGCTTAACATTGTTGGATTGATGGGAATGTGAATATTAATATTACTTCATAAGGTTTGGTAATGATGTGATGTTAAATTTCTAAAACAAAGACATTAATTTTGATATTATGTACATTAATTTTTTAGACCTCCTTAGCTACATGTTTTGCTCAAGAAACTTTTGGGAAACAGTACAAACAAACTATAGGACTGGATTTCTTTTTGAGAAGGATAACATTGCCAGGTAAGAGACTAAAAGTTTAACATAGAAAATTGTGCATATTTTATAATAAGAGATATAGGTAGAAATGTGTAAAATAAATTTTGGGGCTGCTTCTACATGAAAATATGTGTAATCAGTCAGTTTATCTTAGGGAGATTAATTTTCCTCAGCATCTACCATGAAGACATTGTCTGTGGTGTGAGAATAGAGTTTATATATGAATACTTCTCTACTCTCCTACTATTTTTGACCACTACAGATTTTTCAAGGATAAACAATAGTTGCTTATAAAATTCTAAAACATTAAAAAAAAATCAAATGCTATGCTATTATCAACAGATACTGTATAAAGTAAATGGAAAAGACTGGAAAGGATTATTTTTAAAAAATATTATTTTGATTAGCCTCTGCTTCAGTTTTTTGTTTGAGAGAAAGTTGGACCAGAAGTATAATGTAGCTATGGAACTTCTGTGCTCTAATATGTGAATGCTGTTTTATGCAAGGCAGCATGAAATTGCTGGCATTTAATAGACCACTAAAATTTAGGGTCCCTAGGCACTCATAAAAATACAGTTTGAGCATTCAAGATGTTTCAGTTCACCATGCAAAGAAACTATTTAGATGCCAGTTGCAGCACATTTTGTGGGAAATACAGGGAAATAATAACAAAAAAAGAGTGGTTTCTGTTTTAAGTTAGTTACTGAACAATTGGGGCTTTAAAATTTTCTGTCCATTCACTATGATGGTTAAATTATATATTTAAAGTATTTTATTAAAAACAGTTTATCTTGATTAGCCTTATAAACTAGTGTATCTCTCTCCTCTCTGAGGAAACCCATTTGAATAAAAACCATTGCAAGTGTAGTGTTAGAATCTTATGCTAGGATATCAGTGATAGTGGAAAGGGTTTAATAAAATCTAATATTATGAAAATATTTTAATCTCTCAAACACCCCATCTCTCAGAAAGCTCTCCCTGAGAGTTCTGGAACAGCTAATGAAAACTCTTACTACTAATAGGTTCTTATATAATATTTTTGTGGTGGTCTGTATTTAGAAAAAGAAATTAGAAGACTTAGTATGAGAAAGGAATTCTAATATTCTGTTAGGGAGTTATTTTTTTCAACAAGAAGTTTAGCTGAGAAACATGCATATTTAGTTTCACTTGTATTTTAATGTATTCAAAACCAAGAATCTCATCTTATTTTCATCATTGTCATTCTTATGGGTAGGTTTTTGCTACATTCACAATATTTACAGCCATCACTAGCAGAATACATGCACTATCACATAATATACATGCTGACAACGTACTTTTACAGCAGGTTTTTCAGAAGTACCATTCATACTCAGGGAATCCGGGTATGTACTTAGTTATTGACTATGTTCTTTTGGTGCTAATTAGCAAAAGCACCATCTTTCTGTATCATTAATATTGTTTAATATTTCCAGTTTTTTAGTTCAGAGGTTTAAATAAAGGAGCAAGTACCTATTCAAACATTCAAAACATTTTAAGACTAATTTTGAACATTTTATATATTTGATGGATGTGATGATTTCTGATCTATTGCACAATGCTAACCAATTTTTAAATTTTGATTATTTCGCAAAAATATTTGGTATTTTTGAATATTTTAGAGTTCGAAGCTACTTAGGTTA